TATGATATGTTTTTTCTAAAACATCATAATCATCTTTCTTAATACCCCATCTCCCTCTTCTACTTAATTATGGTTGAAAGAGTATCCATATGGGTAATTTAGAAAAAATTGATAAATATGAGAAATAGGTCTTATATTTAGGACCAAAACCAACTCAACAATTGGGTCTTATATTAAAAACCGAAGGAGTATTACACTTGTTATGTTGATTAGAGGTCTGAGGCTAATTCTAATAATTCTGCAAACTAATGGCATGATATATATAGCTTTTTTGTAAATGAAAAATTACATGTTCAGTTTTATTTTATAAATTTAGGCCGTTAGTATCTGCTCTTCTAAATTCAAAAAAGAAGTCCAAGGTTGATGGGGCCCATCCCATCTCATGAATCCCTCTAATCATTAGTCTTTGCAACAAATAGAGACTAAAATTAAATTTTGATGTCTCGCATTTTGAATAATTCAATCCGTTGGCTTGATCTAATGACTAAAAGGGAAATTAAACCTTATTAGAATGACTTGGATCATATAGATCTTTATTCATACACCACCATATTCCCCCACCGTCTAAGCTAGTCTCCGATGGCTAACAATTCTCATTTTATTAAGACACGTGACATTGGAACATTCCCATTGTAAAAACCTGTTATTATGCAAGGCGACACGATTTCATTAGAATATAACGAAACCTATTTGTATATATATAGGTCTAATTGTGTGTGTGTGTGTGTGTGTGTGTGTCTTTTCTTGTTGACACAAAAAATGTTGTAACGAGTTCTTTATTCGATATACTTCAGGTGGTGCAAACCAAACTGCAGCAGCAGACGCATCAAAGTCAACGAGTTCAACCACAATGATTATTACACCCAGTGGACTTGTTTTGACGTTTGCTTCAGTTTTTTCTGCATACTGGATTTAGACGTACAAGTTCCTTGAGATTAATTGATTAATCAATCTAGTTTAAATATTTAAATGAATTCTCTACATTAATTAACACAATCATATATCAATATATGTGATTATTATCAATTCATCTCTCTGCTGACACCAATTTTCTCTTCTCCTTTGATCTCTTCGTGAATGCATTATGTATAATCTACAATTACTTAATGAATGATGCAGAGAATCCAGATCGGAGCTATATATATATTCCTTCGGTCCTAAATATAAGACCCTTATATAGTGTATATAAGGGTCTTACATTTAGGACTGGAAGAGTACTTAGAAGGTGATTAAGGAAGGAAAAAGAAGAAGTTTATATACATTTAATTTGTATGATCTACGTGTTTACTATATATAATTTATATCTTAGGGGGAGATTGGTTCTCTTATATATGAAGAGGGAAACATGTTCCCTCACATAGGAAAAGGACTGTTCAAATCCTTGTTTTGCTAATTAAATAGCTAGAGGGGCCATGAATATTGAAGAATACTATGTATGTAATTTTATGACAAATGAATATGATCATATATATATGTTTAATTTACTTTTATATTTGACACTTGTGTATCAGTAACGTAGTCAATTCTGGATCTGAGCATTGAAAAAATTAATTACGAAATTAATTACATGTAAATGCATTGAGCAACAGACCCAACTCTAATTCTTAAAATGTGCAAAATAAGACTTGAACATCCGAATAACTAATTAACTGGACATTTGATTCTTTTAAAATATAAACAATAAAAATATATAGTAAAATAAAAGATGAAGAACACCTAGATACTTAGCCTTATGGCTTATATAGTTAATATACTTTTCTTTTCAGTCAAATCAGAAAAAGAGATTTTAAGTTGTTAATAATTTTAATAATAAGAGTGTTATAAAATAAACAATATATGAGAAAGCTAATAATATTGTTTGAAAATACGGCTGCTTCAAGCGTATGCACAAGATTTCCTAGTAACATCGAATCAATTTTTGTATAGCTACAAAAAGAATTTGAATCTTTGCGTCTGAACAGGGCTTACAAAGAGAATGTTTTGAAACAAAAATCAAAGTACCTAATAAACAACAATAACCCAATCGCAAAAAATGAAATATACGAGTCGGATTTCGGGTTATTGTTGACGTAGAAACGGGTGGGCCAAAAGCTGAGACGCTGTCCATCTCTCACTTGATTCCTTCTTCAAGCAGCACTCCATGAAGCTCCGAAACTCGTCGGGCGCACTCTCCGGCAAGGTTGGTGGATCGTTGAAACAAATGGCAGACATCAACTGAGCCCGATCGGGTCTCTGACCCGCCGGTAGAAGTGTAAAGTGACCCACATAGAGCTCAAATAAGGTGAGCCCTAAGCTCCGTATATCAGTCGCATACCCGTTATAATTCCCGCCATAACTATTCGGGTCGAACGTTCCGGGCTGATGTACGTGCATGTACCAACGTATGAATTACACGTGTCCAACGTCCTAGACAAAACCTTGCTGACTCCGAAATCGCTGATCTTCACACTTCCGTCTTCTGATTCACGAGGACATTTGACGGCTTGATATCGCGGTGGATATTATGATCTTTTTATCGTGGAGATAGCTCGGCCCAGCGAGAACTTGACGGGCCACCGCGGCGAGTTGAGATTCAGAGAAGGTGCCGTTGTTCTTTAGCAGCTCGTCCAACGTTCCCAAGTCCATGTACTCCAGCAATATCCCTGCATCGCCGAACGGCGTCTCAAAGAAATCGTGGAACTTTACTACGTTTGGCGAGTCCGTCCGTCGGAGGATGTCTATCTCTCGCCGGACCTGGCGGGAAGTCATTGGGTCGGAACTGCCATGGACGACCTTCAGAGCGTGGTTATTAGAAGTTCGGTTGTCGCGAACCTTGTAAACCGTGCCACTATTTCCGTGGCCAAGAACTTGAAGCTTTCAACGTCGTTAGGAGTGAGGTCTGCGGCGGAGGAAATGGCGGGGATGCGGAAGCAATGGGAGGGCTCCGGCAGCTTAAGGTGGAGGTTGGAAGGCCGGCGTTGACATACGACGTCAGCCATTATTGTGAAGAGAAGGGTAAGGTGCGAAGGGTTCGTAGATAATTGAATGATGAGTGGGAGAAGAGTGTGACTGCTCGACTGTGAAGGATTTGGCGCTGTACGTGAACAGTGTATACACACACAAACAAACTTTTTAGGGGGTTTGGAAGGAAGCGCTGAAAATAAGAATAAAGATTAGGACTGGGATTAAAAAAATCTGTTAAAAGAGTGCTTGGTACGAATGAATGTTTATTATCTGGGATTAGATAAATCTATACATTTGGGATTAGAGAATATAAGATTATCTAATCCCATGAAATAAAAAATTATTCATATTAAATACTTCTTAGGACTTGTTTGAAACAGCTTATGAGTAGTTTATAAATAGCTTTTCAATAATGATTTACGGAATACGAGGTAAGTATGTGAGAGGAGTTTTGTCTCGGTTAATGTGAAACGTGTTTATGGGAGATTTTCACCGCTCGGCCAAACGGGACCTTAGTAGTTTTTCTCAATCCTAATCTAAATCCTTATATCTTATTTTTAATGCTTTGTAGTAAACATAATCTTAGATTAGAGATTCAATTTTCAGGAACAAAGGATTCAGAAAGATAAATTTTCTTTTCACAAAAAAAAGATAAATTTTCTTAGAAACAAATTTCGATAAAAAAATTTATTTTTAGCTTTTATATTTTAAAGAAATAAATTAATATCTACGTACTAAAAATACAGCAGCCAATTATTCTTATTATATATTTTAGTCCTAGTGAATTAAAAAATTAAAATTTTAAGAAGAGACTGAAGTAAATTTTAATCTTACATTTAAAAATTTCAGATCAAAGGTAGCATTTTAAGTCTAACTTTATAAAATAGAATCTAAGTATTATAAGATACAATTAACTTTAGCTTTATAACATGGAGATAGTCGGAATATATATTCTAAATAGATCACTTACAAATCTTTATGTATTTATTTGAGAGAAACTGATATTTTCGTTTTAAATATCAATCTATATATGTATTTGAAATATTTTACATGAAATTGCATGAGATATAAATCACAATAGTTATATCTTTTTTTTGACCAGCACACAGTAGTTATATCTGGCATGCGACTTGCATAAGATTTCATACTTGGATAAAATTTAGACCCTTGTACTTATATTTAATAAGTTAAATTCTCCAATCAAATCACAGTACATGATTTTTTTTTTCAATAATAAAAATTCAGTACATAAAATTTTAAAATTCTATTAGACCATAATTAATAAATAAAAAAATCAATTATGATAAGACACGAATAAAAAATTGCATTAAATAAATATATGCAAATGAATCTAGATTTTATTCTTTATATATATGGTTTAAGTTTCTTTGGTCAGCATATATACTACCTCAGATCTTTAATATAAGAGTTAAATGATTAATTTGAAGAGATTAAGAAATTTTTTAAAATTAGTTATTTGTAATAAATATGTATAATCTTTTTTAAAATACCCCTGTTAATCACATGTATTAGTTAAAAATACTATTTGATGTAACATTTAACATATGTAACTACTGCATGGAGTATTTTGAAAAAAGTAGATAAATATGAGAAACAGAGTGAATTGAAAAATTATGTTTAAAATCAAATTAAATATCAAACTGATTCTTATATTAAGAATCGAATGTAATATTATTTAAGTTAAATCTATACAAAGTGGCTAAATTTTAACTTGTAAGTTAAATAAAACTAAAAAAATCAAAAGATTAATATTACTTTTAATTCATCAAATTTCATTTCATTTTGATTTTTATCCCTAAAATTTTTTTACAAAAAGTCATTTAATCTTAAAATTTGATTTGATTTTGCCTGTTTTAAAGATTTTTTTTGTCCGTATAACAGTATTTTTTATCCCTGACCTTAAGTTTTTCCACGAACAAAAGTTAGTTTTTTTTTTAATTGCAAAAGTTAGTTTTAAACTAAGAGATAGAAATAAAAATGAGGTCAAAATTCTGGAAACAAAAAAACAAAAAAAACGAATCAGTAACAGTCGGCACCCTGCAGGCATAACCGGCGATAGCGATTATAGATAGCGTCCGTTTCTTCTTCGAGGCTTCACATCTTATGAAATCGTTCTGCCCTTTTCCATTCTCTCTCACAGCTCGTCAATGGCAGATCAGAACCAAAAACCAGAGCTCTTTGAGCTCAACAATGGAACCATGCATGTCCTCGTCACCAATGTCGGCTGCACCGTCACTTCCTTGTCGGTCCCTGGCAAAGATGGTGATTTAATCTCGCTCTCTCTGTTTTTTTTTTTTTTTCCCTTTTTCAATTTGTGTTGGGATGCATGTTCCTCACGCATCCTTCTGTTTGAATTTTGAAGGAACCTTGTCGGACGTTGTTCTCGGGTTCGACTCTGTGGATCCATATCTGGTAAGATTGTGTAAACCCTTATTTAGTTTGATTTCACTTTTCGTGGGATCATATCTTCACTGATCATAATGGGTGGACCGATTTTGGCCTGATTAGCTCACCTGATTAATAGGCATTGGGAATTATATGGGAAATGTATGATTTTATTGGTCGGGAGTAAAAGGAGTATTGGTTCATAGACTCGCATGTCTGGTTTGTACTCTCTGTCTTGTGATGGAGAATTTCTTGAGTCGAATCGATTACGTTTTCCTTCTATTCTGATCATTTCTCCCCTCATAAATTCATGATGCATTCAGAAAGGTCTTGCTCCTTACTTTGGCTGCATTGTGGGTCGGGTTGCGAACAGAATCAAAGACGGGAAGTTTACACTTGACGGAGTTCAATACTCATTGCCTGTCAACAAGCCCCCAAACAGTCTACATGGTAAGAATTTGGCATCTGTTTAGCCTGTGCTATTCTTTTCCAAAATTTTTTAGGGAATTAAAATTATCACGTTTTGGAACTATAGACAGAGTGACTGAGAAAAGGTGACGCCGCAAGATGGAGTTCCTTTTTTCGCCTTTCTCTTTTGGAAATGAAAAAAAATCTTGTTTCACAAGCATAAAAAAAATTTGCCACCTTATGTGCACTGGATTAGGATCATACCTTTGGTTATTGGTCTCTAAATCTAACATTTTTCTTATTGCACAAAAGCTTAGATTTTGATAATTTAAATTAAAGCAAGTTCAGATGTGTCATGAATGTTAAGTTAATTGTATCATAGGATTATATATGTGCATTATTTTCTGGTCGTCTCATCTGGTGTACATGCTGGCATTTCTTTATCTCCTCATACGATACAGTTTATTATGGTTCTGAAGTAGTAGTTTCATGCTGTTTATGTACTCAGGAATGACCACCTTACAATGATTGTGCATAAACCTTTTATTTGTTTTTTCTTTTTTTGAAATTAGTATTACTTTTTTCTTGAAATACTAGTACTGATATGATTCTGAGTTAAATATGAAAATCGGAAGCATGAAATGTAACCTTTTGCCAAGTGAGGATGCTCATTTCTAAACAGAGTACTCTTACAATGATGATATATAATTGTCTTTTGTGTGATTTTGCACATATCCTGATCTCCCATACCTCTTCTGGTTTCTAGGTGGTAACATGGGGTTTGATAAGAAGGTGTGGGAGGTTATTGAATATAGGAAAGGTGAAACCCCTTCGATCACTTTCAAGTATCACAGCCATGATGGGGAGGAAGGTAACTCATCCCTCCCCTTGTTCTCTTGAATCTCTTCCTTTTATGATTTCTATCTCCCCAGTTATATATTTTTCCTCCCTTTTTTTTTTTTTTTTTTTTTAAATACAAGGTTATCCTGGGGACCTTACTGTTACTGCAACTTACACACTCACTTCTAAGACAACTCTAAGGCTTGACATGGAAGGAGTGCCAAAGGACAAGCCCACTCCAGTGAACTTAGCTCAGCATACATACTGGAACTTGGCAGGCCACAGCTCGGGGAACATCCTTGACCATTCAATTCAGATATGGGCTCATCATATCACTCCTGTGGATGAGAATACTGTACCAACTGGTGAAATTAAGCCAGTGAAGGGTACCCCATTTGATTTTACATCTGAGAAGAGGATAGGCGACACCATTAATCAGGTTGGAATAGGATATGACCACAATTACGTGCTTGGGGGTGGGGATGAGAAGGAAGGTTTAAAACATGCTGCGAAAGTGAAGGATCCCTCAAGTTCAAGGGTTTTGAACCTGTGGACAAATGCCCCTGGCATGCAATTCTACACTGCAAACTATGTCAATGGTGTTTCTGGTAAACAACGTGCTGTTTATGGAAAGCATTCAGGCCTGTGCTTGGAGACGCAGGGGTTCCCTAATGCCATAAACCAGCCAAATTTCCCTTCTGTTGTTGTCCGACCTGGTCAGAAATACCAACATTCCATGTTGTTTGAATTTTCAGTTGAGTGAAGTTGTACTTTTAGGAGTGACACTGGAGAACTGGTGTGCCCCTAAAAAGATTTTCAGCATAAATATCCGTGTCTCCCAGAATAATAACTGCGTGCTTTGTGTTTAAATAAAAGTTCTTTTAGTGCTGTTTGTACCTGAGTTTGATGAGGGCATTACGTGTTTGTTTCTGTCAACGTTCTTTTTTTTTTTTTTGGAACTTGGAGCAAGTGAGATTGAATTCAAGATCTCATTCACATGCGAATTTTAATGCAACTAGATTACAAGATCATTGGTTTCTATCAATGATTTTATCAAAGCATGTATGCGCATGTTGAGGCTTGTGCTTGGCTAACCATGGATCTTGCACAAGTTTCTCCCCCACACACAAAAACATGACAAAATAAATTTAAAATTAACTAATATAAAATAAAATGGAAAAACATTATATTTTGGAAATTATTATTGTCGATGGCACTACTTGCTGACTGTTGACCATCCATGTTCACCATTGGTGTACTAACATACAACGCTCCCTGTGTGTCACTGTTCCTGTTAATGAATCAGTTATGGCTTGGCTGCCGTCAAAAGAATCATGTCATTAATTGCAGGATTGTTATACTCACACTTCTACCCATGCATTGTCTAATTAGTCACGACACACCGTTGGCGGAAAAACAGAAAAACGACATCCACCCATCAATAAGAGTATGTGCACTTTCAATCAACAGCGACATTAAGAAGTTTTGAAAGTTATAACATTGCCCTTAATCTATCATACTATTTGTGCCATAATTAATTAAGACATTGACCCCTAAAAAAAAAAAGAGTTTTTAATCAAGGATGACATTGAGAATGAGATCCATTGGTCCCTGACACGCCTAGCACACGCGAGGAATATTCACAACAAACATGTAACCGAGAAATTGGTCCGTAAAAACAAAATTGCATCTATAGGATTCCTATTTTTCCACATAACCAAACCAGATATATATTGGCTTCAAGTGAAGCTTAATTGAGATTTTTATTTATATATATATTTACATGAATTTCTCTGGAACAACGGTACTTAATCGTGATCGGCAGTTTTCAGAATCTCGTGCGAAACCCTGAACGTTCTTTCTTGTCTTAATATCTAATCAATGCTTCCAAGTACAAAGAAAAGTCTACATAAACCGAAATGTACCAACCAGACATAAATGTATGCTAACGGATTTGCCCATCAAGAACACTGAAAAGGCATAATCTGAAATATTAATGCACAAATGAATAAGAAATGGGCGGAGCGCCAAAAACAAAGCTGGAATAGGTACAAATACAGGCCATATTCAATTGCTGCTACTCTCTCTTGGGGCTTCCTCCAGATTATTTCACTTTGACCGAACCAACTCAAGTGGCAATGTTTCCATTGCCAGCTGAAAGTTCAAATAAATCAATAAATTCCGAAAGACAAACATGTTACTGCCTAGTGCCTACTGAGTGGGTGAGAGAGAGAGAGAGAGAGAGAGCTGAAAATAAGAATAACACATTTGTCTTCCATTGGAAGAAAATGGGATTACACTTACCCACAGTCTAGGAGTTCTAGGATCAACCTTTACTTGTGATTTAGAAAGCTCTGACTTGAAGCTTATAACAACGGAAATTTTGAACTCAATTGAGAATGGACTGCATGGAAATAATAACAAGCTTAGAGAGGCGTTCTATGTTGATCATCTTGGTGATGTTAGATAGATGCTATGTCACACGAGGAGAGGATAGACACAGAAAGCATGCGCCTTTTAAATTATCACGACCTTCTTAGTACCATATGTTTCTAGTGACTAGTTGGGTATATTACACTTCTCTCCGCTTAGATGACAACCTAATTAATAACAAAGTTTGATGTCATGTGGTCCAGACTTGGAATCAAGTAAAGCCGATCATGTTGGCATTTTGTAATCTTCTCAGGGGAGATAACAGTTATATGGGGAGAGAAAAGAAAAGGAATCTTTTCTTTTTACTTCTATAATTAACTGTACTGTGCCTGTATCACTCTTCACAAGATCATTTTACATCAGAAGCATATTGTCGTGTTGGCACTGGCAACCGATAATAAGCAGAGCATAAGTAATTTCATGTGGAAAATATTCATGAAACATAATGAAGGATGGAGGACTAACCCAGCTAAAATTGTTGGACACGTCACAAGACGGGGAAGTATTACATGGATAGGCAGAGTCAAATTACAGCATACATCTCCATCTGCGATCTGCTTTATGAGAAGAAAAACATAAAGCGAGAGGAGATTAAAATACTTTTTAATTTGAAATACTCTGGTGCATTTTCAGTGTTGCTTGCCTGGGTAGTTTGAATCAGACTGGTTTCAGTTGCAATTTTCTCCCCAACAAGAATGGATTCAACACGAAACAAGTGAAGATCAATGGAATGAATTGGAACCGCAGATGCTTCTACTGTTAGTTCACCACTGATAGGATCCGACAAAGAGCACTGAGTACAGACTTTCCCAGTCACCCGAAACCCACCTATGCAGTAATACCTTTGCATCAGCCATGAGACCATTGTAATTGATATTTGCAAATCGCAATAATCTAGAAGTCAGATCAGAGATTGCATAAAAACTTCAAGTGCGGTACATACAAACTTTCTATGTAAGCCAGTCTATCCTTTCATTACAAGAAGGTTTACTTTACAATGGAAGATAAGAATCGCTAGTTCAGAGATCTTAAAGTTGACCTATGAATAATAGAGGCCATTTATTCCCCAAAAAAGAATAAAAGAAAAAAATGGGATGAACAAAAATAGAAGTCATGAAGCTTGGTACAATTTTTTTTTGGAGAGAATTACAATAAGTCCTAAGGAAGGGAAAAAAATTACAAAACAAGTCACAGAAGTTGTCATTCTCCACTCTAGAACTTGTCATTACAGAGTGCTCAGGTTATTATTGGAACTTTTTAGTAATTATTTTTCTTTCTTAGGACTTGATTGTAATTTGGGGGGGTGTGGAAAGAATTTCAAACATACCTGATTTTAATTCATGAAGGAGAGCATGTCTTTGAGTGTCTTGGGTAATGTAGAAGATAACCATTTCTGGAGAAATTGGACGTTGCAGCAGATCAACTGAAAATGTAACGACAAAAAGAATAGTAATTTGTAGCTTGATCATTCATAGATCATCTACCTGGGAAAAAAAAAATAGTGTACAGAACAGAATGATACCTTTATCACTTTCAACGATGAATTCCATTGTGGCTGATAAAGTTTTATGCAAGTATCCACGAGTTATATCTGCAGCGACCATATACTATTAAAAATGCTATCAATCACCATGAGTTCAAATTATGTGGATATTATATATAAAATAGGATGTAGAGAAATATATCCGCAGCATATCAAAAAGAGGCATAAAAGAATAGTAGAAACAACTAATGACAACTAACAATCTCTTATAAAGATGACTGACCAACAAAGCATCTCCTGTATAAAAATTACCTGAATATTGATATTTGAACCATGGAAAGTCTCATAGAATCTTTCTAAATCCTTGCCAGGCTGTCTCAGAATCACTGAGAAAGGTATCTGTCGAATTAAAGATTGCAAAATTCGCAGTAAGAACAAAATAAGTGAACAAGTCAAACAACGAGGTGAAATTATATTTTATATATGTAGCATGCCTCAACCCAGATGAATCCACTTGAAAGTTAGATTGTTGAAGTATCAGAATAAAACAAAGTAAACACTGCAACTTAAGGAAGCAACTTGTGCGTGCGCTTATGAACACCATCTGATGTTGCCAATTAAAAAAATTGATCCCACTTGATTTAGTGCAATGGTAAGTCATGTTTAGCAAAACTAGGCAGCATATGCAAATATGTCACCACATTTCACACTTCTAAATTCCAATGATTTTAATAAAACAATATCGTTCAATTTAATTCCATTCTTTCAATCAAGAGTCAAGGCAAAATCAAGAGAGAAAAGAGCAACAATTTATTGGTTACATGAAAGGCTACAAAGTAAATGGATAGATAAAAATAACTATGAAAGCATCAACTTAGATTAAGAAGGGATGCCAGAATAGAATTCTACTCAAGTTACTATTGCACACAAATATGCTTTGAATTGAAACATTTCCACTTATACACCATTGGTATACTACCTCCGTTGTGCCTGGACCAATCTTTCCAGAAGAACCAACTTCAACGGTCCTCTTCCTGTTTACAGGCCAGAAATAAATATCATTTTTACCTATTTTGATGTGATTCAAAGAATTTCAAAAACAGCAAGAAGGAACTAGTCCTAGGTCTGAACTTAGCAATGGAATGTCCAGAATAAAATTGTTGCTGGAAAACACAATTACCCCCTTCACCGTGAAAAAGGTTTTTTATGTTTCAAATTCATGAAAGTTTCCCCTTCTCATGCAAAATATACAAGTGAACGATGGGCAGGAACAGCAGATCAAAAGCTAAATATACCATGGGTTTTCCAGAAATGCAAATTAAAATAAATAGAAGGTATGATCCTCACCGAAAGATTGAAAATGGTTTCTATAAATATGGTGCAGATTTTGGTCAAAAGTTTCTCTTTCAGGAGTGTTTTTCCTGCTTTGAGTGGTTCAGAGCTTCTTCAAAGTCTTTTTTTCAACCAATATGATTTTAAAAAAAAAAAAAAATCCTTTGGTAGCTATCTTCCAGCATAAAAAACAAGAGTGATTGTTTTCACAAATCTTTCAGTACATCAAACTAAACAAGTTGGGATTTACAAGTAGAGAGCTACTTAACTCCATGGAAATGAATAGCACCTTTATTTAAAATCTCAAACAGTTTCTTCACCCATTATATTTTTATTTTTTAATTTTAAATCACAACTGTGTTTCTACATGAAGGAACTCGACCATAAGTAATACACTAATACTTACACAATGGGGATTGGCTTAATAACTCCATAGTACGACTCAATAACCCCTGCTGATCCTCCGCGAACCTTCAAAAACAGCACGGCGCCCAAGCCATTTAAAATTTAACAACAATAAGAACAGAATGCCAGACGATCAATATCTTCTTAGCTTCACTTTTCTTGTTATTTCTGAGCAACCAAACGAAACAAAGGATTCAGTTAGCACCTGCAAGTTGACGGATCCTTTGATAGTAACACGAACTCCATTG